GGAGGCCAGGACTGAGGAAGTCATGGCCAGCTATTGGGAAAGTCAGAGGCCTGTCCTGGCAGCACTCCACAAGAAGCCAGATCTAACCAGACAGGCCCGAGATGGTGGATGCCATGACAGGAAACCCCTGACCAAATTAGGAAGAAAAAGTGTAAAACACTGCTTCCCACCCCAAGTAATAAATATTTTGCCTCTTAGTAACGGTCAATAAAAGCTAGAAACCGAAACCCCCACGGCACACATTGTTCTTGCTATCATTCTTGCTCTCACATCTCCACAGGGTACTTTTTACTTTAATAAAAGTCCCGCTTCTTCTTTTTTTTTTTTTTAAAGATTTTATTTATTTATTTGAGAGAGAGAATGAGATAGAGAGAGAGAGCATGAGATGGGGGAGGGTCCAAGGGAGAAGCAGACACCCTGCTGAGCAGGGAGCCCGATGCGGGACTCGATCCCGGGACTCCAGGATCATGACCTGAGCCGAAGGCAGTCGCTTAACCAACTGAGCCACCCAGGCGCCCAAACGTCCTGCTTCTGTTACTGATCCACTGTGCTGCATGTCTGTCCTTGAATTCCTCCTCGTGACAAGACCAAGAACCTTCGGCAACTCCTTTAGGTCTGGCTGGGTCGATGGCTCAGGAACCAGGGTCTCCCCAGTTCACCCAGCAATAGGATGGCCTTAGTCTTAAAGGAAAAGTAGGAGTATAAAACAATGACATTTAGGGTTTCCCATTCTCCCCCAAGAAAAATCTCAAAAACCCACTTCTCCCAAGAAAAACATGACAATTTTAGAGCTGTAACTGAAGATTAAATTGAGAGTAGGTGGTGTGTGGAGACTAAATAATAAAGGATTAGATTCAACCATCTGTTTTACAGAGGCAACTCTGAGGTTGGTTTGATTAGTACCTTTCATATCAAGTTCTGGCTTCCCAATTCTGATTCTAACCAGCAATATTTTACTATTTTAAGCCTATGGGGCTCTTCACTGTTGCTACTGTAATTGCTATATTAATAGGCAGCAAGAGTTGAAATGGTGAGTCTAATGGACTTTTTTATAGTAAAGTGAATATGTTATTGTGTGGTACTGAATGGAAGCATTACCTATGAATGGCACTAAGCAATCATTCTGTGGTTGGCAGCCCTGGTAATGTAACAAGCAACAATTAAGGAAATACTTTCTAAAATCCCACCATGATGAAAGTACTTAGCTATTTTTCATGCCTAACAAATTCCAGGTGTGAAGACTTTACCACTTAAGGGTAGGAAGTGGATGTTGGTAGAGGAGTGACACCATATGCTGAGAGAGAAGAATTACAAGGCTTGAATTCTCACTTCCCCAGTTAATAAGTTTAGAGGTAATTTTGTACAGTATTTACATTTCTGCCTGCAAATTCCACAGGTAAATATGTACTATATATTATGCTCTATAGCTTTTTAAGAACTCTGAAGGGTTTGAAACTTTACCCTATTTGCCTACCACAGTCCCATGAATGCTAGTAGAAGCCAGCAAACGGCTAGGTCAGAGATAAAGGTAATTTATCACTTACAGCTGTAGCAGCAATGTATCAGCATTTTTGTGTCAGTTTGCTGAGCCCCAGTTCCACAGGGTGATGTGAAGAAGGCCAAATGACATCTGCATACATATTGGGTTGCATTACAGGAAAAAATATAGTGAGCTTAGGAAACCCAAATCTTTAATAATGGGTGGTAAGAACGTCTGCCCTTTGCTCAAAGGGAGACTGACTTTTTTTTCTTTTTAAAGGTTTTCATTTATTTGAGAGAAAGTGTGAGAGAGTGAGAGCATGAGTGAGGTGAGGGGCAGAAGGAGAAGCAGACTCCCCACTGAGTGGGAAGCCAGATGCAGGGCTCAATCCTGGGACTCTGGCATATGACCTGAGCCAAAGGCAGATGCTTAACCGACTGAGCCACTCAGGCACCCAGGAGACTGACTTCTAAGGCTCTAAGCAAACCTGCCCTTTGCTCTAAAGGTGCACACTATCTCTATTGTCCAAGGTTGTTTCCTACACAAAGGAACAAGGGCAGACAGTATCCCCCTTACAAGACAAGCAGAAACATGGCCAACTGTCTTCCAACATGGCAAAGCATAACTTTAACTTTAATGATTTTTTTAATTAACTAGCACTCCTCTACAATATCAAAGTTACAAGTAAACCACAAGACACAATGTAATTTCATAAAGACTGCACATTATTTCTTGCTGTGTAGCATTACCAAAAGCCTAGTGGTAATACACGTTTATTATCTCCGTTTTTATAGTTAGGAATCTAGGCATGGCTTAAGTAGTTCTACTGATTAGGGTCTCACAAGACTGCAATCAAGATAATGGGTGAGACTGTGATCTTATCTGAGGTTCTAATGAGGAAGGGTATGCTGTTAATCTCACTCAGGTTGTTGGCAGAGTTCAGTTTCTTGAGTTGTAGGATTGAAGGTTTTGGTTTCTTGCTGTGGGTTGGAGGTTGCCTTCAGCTTCAAGAGGCTTGTTATGTGGGGTTCCCCAACATGGCCACTTGCTTCCTTCAAGCAAGGGAGAGAGTGAGCAACTCCAGTAAAATGGCCTGTACGGTCTACCTAAGACAATCACATAGTCACATATATCTCATTGCATTTGACATATTCTGTTGGTTAAGGTCTTCCAATATATTTATGGAGGGGGCTGGCTGTTGGCTACTGAAGATAATTAATGTGACTCAGTGAGGAGAAGTCTTTCTGAAGAAGGGAGATTTTAGCTGAGAACTCAAATGATGAAGAGTCAGCAGTGAGAAGATGGGGGACAGGGATGAGGAACATTCTGGGAAGAAGGGACAGAAAGTGGGAAATGTAGCTATGCCCACAAATATTATCATACCATTATAACATTGTATTTTGTTTCTGTGTCTGTTTTCTCCATCATTCACTAAGCTGTACAAATTATCTCAGAATCTTCAACACCTATTTTATAGTAGATAGTAAATTTGTTTTTTTTAAAGATTTATTTATTTATTTATTTGAGAGAGAGAATGAGATAGAACACGAGAGGGGGTAGGGTCAGAGGGAGAAGCAGACTCCCTGCTGAACAGGGAGCCCGATGTGGGACTCGATCCTGGAGTCCCAGTAGTAAATTTGTTTAATAAATGGATGGATTTATTAATTTAGGAATATTTTATTAAGTTTTCATTTATCAGGAACGTCAGAGATATAAAATGATCATGTGAAGGCCTGTGCCCACAATGAACTCACAGTTGTGTGGAGCAGAGTTGCAAACAACTACAATTCAAAGTGGTCCATGCTCTTGGTGCTATTATAGTGTTGGAAGAAAGAATGAAGCCTCACTCTTTTTGGGGGATTTGAGGAGAACTACATAAAGGTAGTAAAGTTAGCACTGAGTCTTCAAAGATACCTAAATTAGTTGGGGTGCATAAATAGGAAAAGGCATTTTAGGCAAAGGAATCAGCTTGAGCAAGGGCTTGGGAGTGACAAAGCATATAGCTGGTTTGCAAAACCCCCAAGAAGTTTAGGAGTAAACAAAACCAGGAGTATGTATGGAAAGATGGACAGCATGCCAGGAGGCTTATTCAATAATTGTCTATGGATCACATCTAAAGGACAAAGAAGTCAGCTCTAATGTGTGCCATTAGCTTAACAGGATCATTTGAGTATCATAACTAATAATGAATTAAGACACATCAGATGTGTAAAATGTTTGCATTCCTAATGATACTAAACAAACAAAATCTTACTGGCTAACACTGGACTCATTTCTCTGAAATTTTATAATAAAGTGAAAAACCACAGCATTTATCCAGTCTTTCTTCTAGGATCCTGGTATTTCGGGATAACCAATGAGTTGGTGAAAGTTTTTTTTTAAAGATTTTATTTATTTGAGAGAGAGAGTGAGCATAAGTGGGGTGAAGGGCAGAGGGAGAAGCAGACTCCTCCTTGAGCAGGGAGTCCAACGGGGAACTTGATCCCAGGACTCCAGGATCACGACGTGAGCTGAAGGCAGACCCTTAACCAACTGAGCCACCCAGGCCCCCCCAAAAGTTTTTTTTTTATAGAATCCCAGATAATAAAATCATTAAAGGTGTTAGATATGTTTTAAGACTTAAGAGCTATACCAAAATGCAATGTGAAGATTTTTTTTATCTTTTGATAGAAAAAAAACAACTATTAAATGACATTTTGGCTTTAACCAGGTTAATTTGAACATGCACTATTAGATAACATGAAGGAATTATTAATTTTGTTAGATGTGATAATGGTGAAGTTAAAAAAATCCGTATCAGTTTGAGATGCACATTAATTTAAGGGTAAAATAATGTCTGGGATTAGTTTCAAAATACTCAAGCACAGAGCGGGGGAGGGGATGAAACTAGATTGGCAAAATGTGAATCGTTGATTTTTGGTGATGGGTACGTGAGGGTTATTAAAAGTGGATTCACTTTTGCCTGTTTAAAATTTTCCTTAATAGTTTTAAAAAGCATAAGTCCCGCGGAAAGGGGATGTCCGAAATGAAAGACCCCAACTATTCTAGAAGATTCTCAGATTTCCCAGGAATTTCCGAGAGTTGTGAACTGTGATTGCCGAACTGCTGCCGGATTTGAGCAGCAGACTCCCGCTCTCCGGGAGCTGACCCAGGGTGGGCGGTTGAGGACTCACGGCAGTTTTGGGAGCATAGTGGGAAGCGAGGACATATTTCCCCAACTCGGCGGCCTCCCCTCCTCAAGCCTGCCCTTCTTTTCAATCTTTCTTCCCTCCGAGCCCCACACGCCGCTCATGCACTTGGACGCGTCTCTTTTTCCGCTATTCTTCCTCTCCAGCGCCTAGCTCCACCCCTAACTCTTCCTGACCCTGCTTGTCCTCTCCCACGCCAGCCCCGCCCCTTCCGTTTCTAGCCCCGCCCCATGTATTCGCCCCGCCCCGCCCCTCCTGCTCCTCGCCCCGCCCCTTATCTCGGCGCAGAGGAGGAGGTTACCATAGCCACCGTGCACACAGCAGCTAGGCGTCCCTCGTTAGTCCCCGGCTGGCCGAAGGGAAGAGGCAACATCATGAGCCATGTGGTGACTATTGAGGAGCCCCAGGCCAACCCGCAGGTGTCTCAGACCCGGTGCGGGGTGAGGTCGGGGGCCTGGGGCAACGTCTCCTCCAATCGACAGTATGATTTTCTGTACGGTAAGGCTGGCACCAGACCTCCCTCCTGAGTTATTGACTCCTGGGCTAGCTGGGCTTCGGGACGGTGGGACCCGGCCAGGGGCCCGGTGAGCGTAAGATGAGCCTCAGGACGGATCCCTTGTCCGCGGTTATCCTTTGTTGGGTGGGAGCAGCTCCGAGCTCCGCAGGTGGCGGCGCTCTCCGCGCGCGTCCGAAGCCCCAGGTGCGCTCAGCGTCTGGGAGCACCGCGCGGGATCGCCTTAATTGTTCGCCACCGTCTTTTCCTGATAATTTGTACAGCCTTAAGCAATCTTCCTGAAACCTGTTCCCGGTGTCTTGCTCTCCAGAAAAGTATGTAATGATTTGCAGGCTTGGAGATTCACTCAACATTCCCACGTTCAAACTGTGTAAAGTGCCCGACAAAATGACCTTCCCGCCCCCATTCTCCCGGCAACTCCAAATTTGACTTTGTAGATAAAGAAGTAGCAGTTTGTCTCACCTTTGTGTCTAGTTTTTCTCTTTTTTAAAAAAACTTATTGTTACTCACCAAAGCATTGCTTATAAACCAGGTCCACTGGATTCTTTTGGGTCAATAAAGGCAGGCCCAGTTTGTTTTAATGCCCTGCTTGTCCGTTTGTGTTTTCTTTTACTGGACCTTAAGTTTCTTGAGTTCTTTAGGTACTTGTTTTATTTTTCAGCCTTCTCAGCACGTATTCCAGTGTTGGTACATATGCAAGGTACTTCATAAATGTTTAGTGACTTTTGAATTTACTATTAAAAAGAATTTTAATCAGTTAAACATGATTTTTTCTAATTTTGCCCTCATCAGTCCCATGCTCTCCACCTGAACCTTGCATTACTTTTAACCATGTGCTGTCTCCTCTAAGATTCCCAGGATCATCTTTGGATGGGAATCCACAGGTTACCCATTTCCTGGTATAGGGGCTATGTAATGGTTGCTTACATTTTATGGCCAGTGGTTTTCTTTATTCATTCTTGGTTTCATCTTGTAAAATAAGTCTAGTAAACTGTAAACACATCACCGTATTGATTTCACAGGTAATTTGGAAACTGGATAGACCTCTTCAGTAAGGACAGGCAAAGAATTTACCAAGCTTCTTGTCTCTTTTAAAAGTATTCCTTTCTCTCTCTTTTTTGCAGAGGGATGCTAAATGTTTCCATGTCCCTTGCAAGGAAGAGAAACCCACTCAAAATAGGCCAAATAAAGTTTGGATTGTTCCAGTAAAACAGGCAGTCTCACAGCTATTCATGGACAGGAAGCATAGTATAGCCAGGACAAAGTAGAACCAAGACAGGGAAGGTCAGAACTAAGGTATGGTGCCCTTCGGCGTGATTTCTTGGACCTTATGGTTTTTTATCTTGTTTAGGTTGTCAGATTTAGCAAGCAAAAATACAGGATGCACAGTTAAATTTGAATTTGAAATAAATAACGAATAATATTTTAGTATAAATTTTTGGCCCCATGCAATATTTGTGATCTATTTATATAAAAAGTTATTCGTTGCCTATATGAAATTTAAATTTAACTGGGCATCCTGTATTTTATCTGCCAACACTAACCCTTTCTTTTTTCTGCGCATATGTTTCCTTCTTCCATCTGATAAAAAGCCACTTTATGGATTTCTCTTACTATGACAGGGACTGGGGTGGCAATCTACATGACCTCTTATCCTAAAGCTCATCACTAATTGTATAGAGTCCTCATGTATCTTAGCTGAAAATTGACGAGAGAAATAAGATAGGTTGTTGACAAGCCAGTGAATTGACTGGCTTGGGTCCGATTTCCACCCTGACAGAACTATGGTGGGGTCGGTGTGGTGGTCAGTGAACACCTTCCCAGCTTTTTCACGCTTCCCCCTGCTCCCACCCCTCAAGCCCAAAGGCCTTTTCACCATGGTTAATTGTCTGCAAGGCTTTTGCTCCTCTAAGAAGTTTGGGTGTCTTCATTAAACCTAATTTTTACTCTTCTGATCACTCTAGCAATTAAGATTAATTCAGATACCTTACTTTTTTGTGGTACTTTAGAGTTAACATAATTTTCTTAATAGATTTTACCAAATTTATATACCATTTTGCATTTTACTGAGTTTTTTGGTAAATGCTTTGTGTCTCTCAAGTGCCTCTTGAAGTGACCACTGTACGTTGTCACTTTGCTGAATCTGTACATTGATTTGTAGCTACACTATTGCCCTGATAATGAAAGCCTTTTAAATATATAGTTTTCCTAGCTTCCAAAAATGCTTTAAAACACTTTCTATGTTTATCATAAGCTCTTTCCTCCTTTCTTTTCCCCCAGAATATGCAATTTATTATACTTTTGCCTAAAAGTAATCCTTCTGTCTTGGAGTGTGACACACTTCCTCTCTCTCATGATTACCGGGTTGTGACAACTTCCTAGGCTTGCTAGAACAGTTTCTACAGTATGGGTAAATTGGCTGAGGGGCTTTCTCATGGTTTCCATGGGAAACTTCTGCCCATAAAATTCATGGGATTTCGATAATATTAGGCTTGGGAGCCAGAAGAATTGGAGTTGAAATTTTAACTCAGTAAGTGGCTAACTTCTTGAAGCCTCAGTTTCCTCTCCTATAAAAAGGAGGCCTAGTGCCTACCTCACTGGGTTTTTGTGAAGATTAAATGGAATATTGCCCATAAAGCACTTAATACCTGTCTACGAATAAGCAAGTGATACCTGGTGAGTGCTATTACCTGGGCATCTCAGAGGTCCTTCTATTGCCTTTTGAGCACTGATTATGATCACAGTTGTAGGATATGTTGCAGAATGTGTAGTCATAAATCATATAGTATTGTGCCATTATCTTCTCTAGATGGCAGGAACATTTCTATAGATAGTATGTCTTTGTACTCCTTATGGGAAGAAGAGGAGAATAGTTTATAGCTTATTATTCAGATTTAGGGGAAATGCAGGCTAAACTCATTTAAGATGAACAACACAGTTGGAACCATAGACCCAGTGACATCTTTTAAATCACTTAAAATAAGAGTACGAATAGAAATTTCCCTTTGGGGATGCCTGGGTGGCTCTGTCAGTTAAGCATCTGCCTTCGGCTCTGCTTCTCCCTCTCCCTCTGCCTGCCGCTCCCTGCTTATGCTCTCTCTCTCTCTCTCTCTGTCAAATAGATAAATAAAAAAATCTTAAAAAAAATTTCCCTTTGTCCCATACTATCCCCAATATATCAGACATGTTGAAGCTATAGCCTTTATCCCTTTAAACAGGTGCATTCATTCAGCCTTCAAATTCACTAGGCTTTAATTTGAGGCCATAAAATATGGCCTCATCATTCCTAATCAGCCCAGTTTCCATCACTTCTCAACTTGAATCATAGGTGTGGATTTGGGTGCTGCAGCTAAAGAAGAGTATATCTAAAGGTGATGATTCCCAAATTCATATCACTGGTCCAGACTTCCCTCCCAAACTCTAGATTCTTATATCAAATTGCCTACTTCATTTCTCCACTTGGACATATAATGGACACCTAAGGCATGCTTTTCATGTTCTCCCTGCAAACCTGCTCCACCACAGACTTTCCTGTGTCAATTGATACCAATCCAATACTTCAGTTGCTGAGTCTAAAAATCTTGGAGCCATCATTGTCTTATCTCTCTCTCTCTCTGACACACACCATTCCAATCCATTCAGTCCTCGCTCTTCCACCTTAAAAATATATCTAGAATCCTTCCCCATTTGATCACTTCTGTTGCCACCACCATCGTTTCTTCTCTAAGCGCACTGCATGAGCCTCCTAATAGGTGTCCCTGTCTTTTCCATTCTTTCCATGCAGTCTCTTCTTCACTGGGCAGCCACAATGAACATTTTATTATTTTCTTTTAAGATTTTATTTATTTATTTTAGAGAGAGAGCACATGAGTGAGTGGGCAGAGGAGTAAAGAGGTAGAGAGGAGGGGAGAAGGAAAGAGAGAATCCCAAGCAAACTCCACACTGAGTGCAGAGCCCTATTCGGGGCTCAATCCCACAACCCTGAGATCATGACCTGATCTGAAACCAAGAGTCGGATGCTTAACCGCCTGAGCCACCCAGGAGCCCCTACAATGAACATTTTAAAATGTAAGTCAGATTTTGTTACATCTTGTCTCAAAATCTTGCAATGGTTTCTGTCCTCACTCAGATTAAAAGCCAAAGTCTTTTCAGTGGTCCACAAAGCCCCATGTGATCTAGGCCTCTGGTAACTTGCCTGACCTTTTATCTACCGTATTTTGCCTCTCTCAACTCTGTTTCAATCCTGTTGGTCTCTGCTGTTCTTCAAACATGTCAGGCATGCTGCCATCCTAGGGCCTTTGCTCTGGCTGTTTCCTCTGCTTCAAATGCTTTTCTTTCAGATAACAGTATAGTTAACTCCCCATTTGCAAGTCTCCTTAAATGTCACCCCTTGGGGCACCTGCGTGGCTCAGTCAGGTTAAGCATCTGCCTTTGGCTCAGGTCATAATCCCAGGGTCCTGGGATCGAGCCCCATGTCAGGCTCCCTGCTCCGTAGGTAGCCTGCTTCTCCCTCTCCCTCTGCTGCTCCCCCTGCTTGTTCTCTCTCTTTCTCTCTCCTCTCTCTCTGTCAAATAAATAAATAAAATCTTAAAAAAAAAGTCACCCCTCAATGAGGCCTGGCCTGCCCTGACTCCCCTGTGTAAAATTGCAACCCAATCTCTATTACCTGCTCTTTCCCCACTTTTTAAATAACACTGTCCTCTAACATATTATATAATATGCTAATTTGTTGTGTTGTTTATTGTCTCTCTCTCTCATGAAGTCAGGGATCTTTATCTTTTTCTTGATATGTTCCAGGCACCTTGAACATAGTAAACTGTTAATAAATCTTGAATGAAAGAGAGCTGAGCCTCTTGTAGTTTTTCAACCTTGGGAGAATATTAAATGTCTGCATCCAATATATCATTTTTGTTGGGTAACTGAGGAGTTATTAGACTCTAGGAATTGACTCACATTATCTAAATTAAATTAAATTTAAATTACATATAAATCACAATAACAGTTATTAATTTCTGTGAAGAAATATGTTGCCAAGTCATCTAGACTAGTTGGTCAGGGTATTTGTTTCTCAAGAGATATCTACTAGGGAAATCAAGTCTCTGAAGGTTGCTTATGAATTTAATATCATATTGTTTAATTTTAAGGGATGGTATAATCGATCATAAATACTCTTCATTGCTTTAAAGATATACCTAACAAGTCCATACTTACAATAACAGGGCAATCTTTTGTGGAACTTTGGAGAAAAAACTTAGTCCCATCATCAACATCCTTCTAAATTTAAGGAGTGTGGGGCGCCTGGGTGGCTCAGCCGTTAAGCGTCTGCCTTCGGCTCAGGTCATGATCTCAGGGTCCTGGGATCGAGCCCCACATCGGGCTCCCCGCTTGGCAGGAAGCCTGCTTCTCCCTCTCCCATTCCCCCTGCTTGTCTTCCCTCTCTCGCTGTCTCTCTCTCTGTCAAATAAATAAATAAAATCTTAAAAAAAAATAAATTTAAGGAGTGAATTATAGTTGATTTTATTTATTTATTATTAGAGAATGACATTTTCCTACTATGTTTATGAATTCTGAGGTGACATGTTGCTAAGAGTTTGTATCTTTCCCTTGTACTGAATATGGGAGGTAGTGCCCCCAATGTGTTATTTCTTTTACTTGTAAATTTGTGTAGTTAGCGTATACAGGGTCTCTCATCTTAGAGTATTTCCTGGGCTACCCAGACCCAGAAAGTGGTTTGTTCATAGGAGAGAAAAGACAGTGTGTTTAGGCTCTGGTGCTTGAGGACATATCAGGCCTACTTTTTGCCTTGCAATTCTATAACCTGACTTTGGAATATACAGAGGAGAAATGCATCTAACAGACTCTCACTGGTGATAGAGTTAGGCAATATCTAAATCTTGTAATTTGTTTTCCAATTAAGAAATTACATTATTTTGCCATTATTCTCAGTCTAGATATATTCCATTCCTTATACCACCTGATTGTTTATTTTGCAGATCCATTGTTTATTGTGTCAAGTGAGAAAGACCACACGCAGGCAAATATCCAAGCTAACCTGATTCGAAACAGACTGGTAGGTCCAATTCAATCACTAAGGCAGCCTAATGAACTTGAACCATCCAGTTTTGCTAACCACACTAATCAGCTTGACTAATCATGAGATCTCCAGTGGATTTTATATTCTGCAGAAATTACTCTGCCATGATTACTAGGGGATAAGACATCTTGATACTTGTGGCCCAATGTGAAGATTAATTAACTAATAGTGAATAAAGGACTCATTAAACCTAATTTATTTCAGTGGGCAAAGTTATATATGCCTGTGTTAAAAGAATTCAAGTAGTACAAAAACATATACAGTATGAAATAAATTCTAACCCTCATGCCCCTTCTCATAATCATCCACTGTTATCAGTTTCTTGGGTATCTTTTAGAGATATTCTGTGCATATACAATTACCCTTCTTTCTGTGCTGCATACACTATTTTGTACCATTTAAAATTTACAATAACAAAATGCTTTAGAAAATCTGATGGTAAAATTTTGTCCTTTTCCTCCCCATCTCCCTGTCCTAATTTTAGAGAAAAGTTCCCCGGTTTAGAAGCATGTTCAGTAACTTGATCCATTATCCAAGATATTCTCTGTATCGGAGCAGGGCAGACCCTGTCCCACCATTCATGCGCCAGGAGTGGAAAGGACAGGAGGGGAAACGCAGGGAAGCCCGCGGGCGGTTTGCCATGTAAGTGTCATGTAGCTTTGGCTGCTACGCACGTTTTTAAATTTTATTTATTTTTGAGAGAGAGAGAATGACAGAGAGAGAGAGAGCACGAGAGGGAAGAGGGCCAGAGGGAGAAGCAGACTCCCCGCTGAGCAGGGAGCCCATGCGGGGCTCGATCCGGGGACTCCGGGACCATGACCCAAGCCGAAGGCCGTCGCCTAACCGACTGAGCCACCCAGGCGCCCCTGCTACTCATGTTTTTAATGAATGCATTTTTCTTCTTAAGATTTTTTTATTCTGCATTTTTTAAAAGTATAATTGGGATGTTATACCTAGGTCAATTGACCCCAAATTCTCTCTCTTAAACCCCCTAGCCAAAACAAGCCTGATTCAGGGGCAGTGGTTATGGGTTTATAGGTTAGTAGGTTAGTAGATATTCTCAGAAGCTTGGAGTGAATATATATATATATATATATAACATATATATATTATTAAGTGACAATTTGCCACCAAAGGTAGAGGTAGAGGTGACTGAATTTGTTTCTTTGATCCATCTTAGAAATTGCAACTATATCCTTCTGCTAGTATCTAAATATATATATATATAGATTTGGAGATTTGCAGCCAAAGCATCTTCAGAGACAAGTCTCTTGAATTCTTTATTCTTTTAATTATTTACAAGTCATGCCTAGTAAATTAAAAGAAAAAAGTTACCTTTCAGCCTGGACATAAAAAGTTGTCTCTCTTTTTTTTTTTAAAGATTCCATTCATTTATTTGAGAGAGAGAGAATGAGGGAGAGAGAGCACGAGAGGGAAGAGGGTCAGAGGGAGAAGCAGACTCCCCGCTGAGCGGGGAGCCCGATGCGGGACTCGATCCCGGGACTCCAGGATCATGACCTGAACTGAAGGCAGTCGCCCAACCGACTGAGCCACCCAGGCGCCCAAAAAGTTGTCTCTTAAAACTCTATTATTCCTGGGCACCTGGGTGGCTCAGTCGTTAAGCGTCTGCCTTCGGCTCAGGTCATGATCCTGGAGTCCCAGGATCGAGTCTCACATCGGGCTCCCTGCTCGGCCCGAAGCCTGCTTCTCCCTCTCCCACTCCCCCTGCTTGTGTTCCTGCCCTCGCTCTCTCTCTCTCTGTCAAATAAATAAATAAAATTAAAAAAAAAACCTCTATTATTCCTATGTACTATTAATTAAAAGTGTGCATTTTTGTATGTGAGATTTCATAAATATACTCTTTTCTTACTCTTACTTCCCCTTGTTAGCTCCCGGTTTCCTGCTCAGGGAAAGTAATTATTATCTAGTCTGAGATGTAGGTCAGTCAGATGCATGTTATAGAAGACTTTGCTCTCAGTCTCAGATACCCTGTGCATCTCCCACTTTATAGACATAAAAATATGAAATAGAAATTATATTTGGAAATAACATGTTAGAGTTTAATAATGTTTTCCTGCTTCATTTTAGAACTGATAAGTCTTTTCAGATGGCTAAAGAGGCTTATGAAGATCCTGAAATTACTGGAAGGAATCGCTATAAATATTTTGAAAGGTAAGAAGTAATTACTAATGAAAATGAGCCCTGATATTATTAGAAAATGTCTTTATGATAATGATAGCAGCTATCAGTTTTGAGTGCATGCAGTGTGTCAGGTACCAGTTTAAGTGCTTTATATATATATATAATCAATTCTCCTTTTTAGACTGTATTTTTTTTAGTATATGTGCTGCCGAAGCGAGCACTAGACTGTATTTTTAAGTAATCTGTACACCCAATGTAGGGCTCCGGCTCACAACCCTGAGATCAAGAGTTGCATGCTCTACCAAGTGAGCCAGCGAGGCGCCCCCATATAATCAATTTTTACAACAGAAATGTAGGATAAGATATATTATCCCTATTTATCAGTAAGGAAGCTGAGACGAAGAGAGGAAAAATAAATTGCTTAAAGTCTCTTAAGTTAGCAAGTGGCAGATCTGGGATTCCAGAACTTCAGAGGTACTAGCTGTAAATAAGAATGTATATTTGAGAACAAAATGAAGTCATCAAATCAAGTGAGATACAGCAGAGACATCATGACAGTATAGCACATGGGAAGTTGTTATAAGTGGCGAATAGGTGACATTCACTGTGTTTTTGTGAATGTTGCCAAAACCAACATGGTCGAAAGTTTCACTTTGTTTCATTTGTGATCAATACTCATGTGATAATCATACAGTCAGAATAAAATAAAATGAGGATCTCCCTATAGGTCTTATGTGGTTAGAAAAATAGTCTTGATGCCATATGTACATAAGCTTCCTTGAGAAAGTAAATTTGTAATCCACGTTGTTATTTGTGAGCAACCTCTTCAGAGAAGTTTTATAATGCTGACTTTTTAGAGAAATGTTAAATTTTCAACACAGTATACCCAATTCCTAGACTTTCTGGGGGTAGTTTTTAAAACTAAATTACTGAGAATTTCAGAATGTTTCAGGGAACTAGAGAAGTTGCTGGGAGCTCATGACCAGCTGAAGCCCAGGTATAAGGCATTACTTATGAAAGTGTGATTTGTTTACCATCTGCAGGGAAAACATTGGAATGTTTATTACAAATGCAGATTCATTAGCTCTGTCTTAAGTCTACTGGATTTCGTGGGCTAGACTTGGTAATTTGCATTTTAAAACAAAAATCTCCCCACTCTCCAGTGATTTTGTATTTGTCCAGGTTTGAGGATTACCAATACAGGATATTCAAGTTCACTGATTTTAAGGGACTAATATGAGGATTGGAATAAAGCCCAGAGAGCACACAGTGTAAAAGCCCCACACGTTTGTGTTCTTCTTTCTCCACCAGGCCTTTCCTTCCATTTCATCAACAGATGCCATTCAGTGTTGTTTTTGCAGCAACCAAGTAAGTAACCATTATTTTACAACTTTTTTTCCTAGCTTTTTATTTATTGTTTGTTCCCATATTTGTTTCCAGAAGATAGTTCTGTAAATCAACATTTTTCAAATTCCAGATCACAAATCATTAGAAAGTCATGACATATTTTAGTGGGTCATGAACAGCATTTTAGAAAATGAAATAGAAAATAACCAGAAGCATCAGATACATTGAGGGTAAATTGCCTTTTTGCTAATAACTTCTGTTTTGGATAGATATATACATTTTTTCATATGTAATGATTATGATGTAAAATGTATTTCTTATTACATGTTATGGTAAAAATATAAGTTAAAAAATGCTTTAAATATCCTCTTTTGCTTCCCTGAAACACACGTTTATTTGGCAACAGCTCTTCAACATTTTATCAAGAAAACTAATCAGTTATGAAATAGTTTTTGAGTACTGGAAGTTCATAATTTAATAATCATAATCTACACAAGATAATTTAATATACAAAGATCAATGAAACGTGGTTTCTGTCCCACAGAGGAGTGGACCAAGGTGAGAGAGAGGTAAAGGCCAAGGGCTGAATCTGGGATGAAGGTGCAGTTCTCCAGTCTTGTTTTAGGGCTATACTGTTTCCTGTGTCAGTATAACTTTGTTTGTGTATAAGAGAAAAAAATGAAATGATCAGGAAAAGAAACCTTTTTTACGGTATCAGATTTCTGAACAGAAATTTAGATAGGGCTTGGCTTTCAAACAAGCCTTTAAAGGATACCCTAACGATACAGCATTTTATGAATAGAATATATGTTATAAATGTCTGTAATCCTCAAGATAAGTGCCAGTTGTGATCCTGATTCTCTGACTTTTTAATTTTTTTTAAAGATTATTTATTTATTAGAGAGTGCATAAGCAGGACGGGGAGGGGGTCATATGCAGACTCCCCACTGAGCAGAGAGCCTGACATGCGGCTTGATCCCAAGATCATGACCTGAGCCAAAGGCAGACACTTAACTGACTGAGCCACCCAGGCACCCCTCTCCTCTGATATTTTAAGACTATGCGTGGATACCATTGGCTCTTATATAGATGGAGAATAGATTTCTTTCCCTCCCCCTAGAGAGATCAACTTTGTGTGGTGTCAGTTTACTTGGGGACAGCTGCAGACTTGTTTTCAGTGAAATGCTCTGTATGAGAAAAGGAGAACATATGAGATTGGTAGATCCCTATAGATAACTTTGATAATTCTTTAAAAGCAGGCTTAGTGGATCACCTACTATGGAGATAATAATTATATCAGGTCTAAAAGTTGTTTAATTAATTGTGGGGAATTCTGAGGTCTACAGCAATGAACACTGAGCCTCTTCTTTTCTAAATAACTGTGATGTGGGAGATTCCCTATAAGAATTAAACCGTAATGGTTGACATCTTAGATACTCTCTTTCCTAGAAGTTTTTAAAGAATTAATCAGTATCTCTGAATGAAGTCAACTCTGGGATTCTGGAAGGGTTCAATTTCTGAGCAAGGAGGATAATCCACCTTATGTTAGCAGGGATAGAATTGTCTGGGGGACCAGCTGGCCTTCTCCAGCCATACCCTTTTCATGGTTAACTGTTGGAGTCTTTACTTTGGACTCATGTAAGCATCTTGGGGAAAAGGATAAAAAGTTAACATTTTTAAAAAGTTCAGTGGCAGATTTTAGTTCCACATGTAAGGAGCTTGGCAGTTGCCATCTGTCCTAACAATAAGTAAAAAGCTGAACAAACTGAAAAAGCAACAACTTTTCTTGGATCTGTAAGAAAGGGGAGGATTCAGAACAAACTGCTCCCCTAAGATTAGAGAGGCATGCTTATAAGCAGGCATGGCTTCCCAGAATCTTAGAGATTCATGAGTGGAAACCACTCCAGAAACCAAGTCCAGGTAGGAAAACCTGAACAATAATTGATGAATTGCTGGAGGCTCTGAGAATTAAATTCTAGGGGAACCTAGTCACTGGGGCTCTGACAATTTTGTGAGATTTACCTCCAGGACCTCAAGTAGGTTCTCACAGGGCATTTGGGGAAAAATCCCCTCATGCTCTTGGTAGGGGGAGTGGAAAGGAAACCATTTTGAAATATGCCAGAGCACTCTGTTCTTCTTAACAAGGTCAGCTGTTAGGAGAAACTAGTTAACCAGAGCCTAACCTGCTGGGTATTATTAGAGCCTAACTGACCTGGGGGAAGGAAAATATGCAACTCTAGCCTCCTCTAGCCATCTTGCCCCACCTAGGAGGGGGGTGGGGAGAAAAAACTGAGAAACACTTAAGAAATTCTCAGTCCATATGCATAGGCTCACCAAAAGACTGAGACATAATCATAGGATAATAGAACACTTATCTTCCCCCCCCTCCTCACCTCACCACCACATTACTAAAGGCCTATTTACAGTAGTTTTTCTTACCCAGTACATTATGTGTAGCAGTCAAGAAACAAAAGGCATACTGAAAGGCAAAAAACACAATTTGAAGAGACAGCATAAGCATTAGAACCAGACATGGCAGTTATGTTGGAATTATCAGATCAGGAATTTAAAACAACTATGATTAACATCCTAAGGGGCTCTAATGGATAAAATGGATTGCATGCAAGATCAGACAGACAATGTATGCAGAGAAAAGGAATCTTGAAGAACTAAAAAAAAAAAATGCTAGAAATAAAAAATGCTGTAACAGAAATGAAGAATACCCTTAATGGGCTCATTAGTAGACTGGACATAGCTTAGGAAAGAATTTTGGAGCTAGAAGATATAACCATAGAAAACTGGAAAGCAAAGAGAATAAAGACACAAAGACTGAAGAAAAGGAACAGAATATTCAAGAACTGTGGGCAACTACAAAGATATAATAAATGTGTAATGGAAATACCAGAAGAAGAAAGAGAGAAAGGAACAGAAGACATATTTGAAACAATGAGGATTTCCCCAAATTAATGTCAGACACCAAACTACAGAGTTAGGAAGCTCAGAGAACACCAAGCAGGATAAATGCCAAAAGAAGTACACTGAGACATATCATATTCAGACTAAAGAAAATCAAGATAAGAAATTTTGACAGAATCTAGAGGACAAAAATGCCTTACTTATAGAGGAACAAAGATGAGAATTACTTCTGACTTCTCAGAAATCATGTGAGCAAGAAGAGAAGTGAAAATTTAAGGTGTTGAGAGAAAAAAAAAATCAACCTAGAATTCTGTATCCTATGATACAGATACCTTCAAAAGTGAAGGAGAAATAAAAACTTTCTCAAACAAAAGTTGAGGAAATCTGTTGCTATTAGACCTGCCTTAAAAGAAATGTTAAAAGAGTTCTTTAGAGAGAAGGAAAATAATAAAAGTCAGAAACTTGGATCTACATAAAGAAAAGATGGAATAAATGAAGATAAAATGAAAAGTTCTGCTTTTTAATCCAACAGTTGACAGTTTGTTCAAAATAATAGCAACAGTGTATTTGGAAACATATATGCAGTTGATACACAGTTGACTCGAAAATATGGGGGTTAGGAACACTGACCCTTGCATATTAGAAAATCCATGTATAACTGTGACTCCCCCAAAACTTACATTTATAGTACTGTACTATATTTATGAAAAAAAATCCATGTGTAGGTGGATCTATGCAGTTAAAACCTGTGTTGTTCAAAGGTCAAGTGTGTGTGTGTGTGTGTGTGTGTGTGTGTGTGTGTGTGTGTGTGTATGTATGCTTATGTATGCTTATATTTAAGTAAAATGAATGACAGCAATGATAAAGAGATGGAAGGGAAGAATTAGAATTATTTTGTTAATTATATGAGGTGTGTATGTTGTCAACTATATGTTGTCAACAAGAAATCTACTTTATTTTTTTATTAAGTTTTTAAATTTTAATTCCAGTATAGTTAACATACAGTGTTATATTAGTTTCAGGTGTACAATATAGTGATTCAACCAGTTCTATACATTACTCAGTGCTCAGCATGATAAATGTACTCTTTAATCCCCATGATCTATTTCACCCATCCCCCCCAGCTACCTCCCCTCTAATAACTATCAGTTTGCTCTCTATAGTTAAGAGTCCATTTTTTGTTCTCTCTTTCTCTTTTTAAAGAAACCCACTTTAATTATAAAGACACATATAGATTTTCTTTTAATATTTTATTTTTAAGTAATGTCTATACCCAGTGTGGGGCTTGAACTCAAAACCCCAAGATCAAGAGTCACAAGCCCCACCAACTGAGCCAGCCAGGCACTCCATAATGTGTCCCTTTTTTTTTTCTTTAATGTACACTGTATGCCCAATGTGAGGCTTGAACTCACAACCCCAAGATCTAAGAGTTGCATGCTCTATTGACTGAGCCAGTCAGGTGCCCTGAGACACCTATAGATTAAAAGTAAATGGGTAGAGAAAAATACATTATGCCAGCACTAATTAAAAGAAAGCTGCAGGAGTTATACTAACTTCAAACAGAGCAGACTTCAAAGCAAGGAAGATCATCAGGGATAAAGAGAGGCATTACACAATGATAAAAGGCTCAGTTCTCCAAAAAGACTTACATTATTTCATGTGTATGTACCTAACAACAGAATATCAAACTACATAAGGCAAAAACTAATAGAATTACAAAGAGAAATGGATGAATCCATTATCATAGTTGGAGAATTTAATACCCTTCCTGTAGAAATGGACACATCTAGCAGGCAGCAAATCAGTAAGGCTCTAGTTGAACTCAACAACACCATCAAATCAACTGGATATAATTGATATCTACAGACTACTTCATCCAACAACTGCAGAATACATATTCTTCTCAAGTTCACATGGAAGATTCACCATGATAGAGTACATTCTGGGTATAAAACACAATTTAACAAATGTGAAAGAATAGAAATCATATAATGTCTGCTCTCAGACCACAATGGAACTAAACTAGAAATTAATAACAGAAGGATAACAGAATTCCTGAATATGTAGAGATTAAATGATACATTTCTAAATGACACGAGGGAGAA